GGTAGGAAGAGAGTCAGGGGCGGTTGTCCGTCCATCCACTCCCCGTCAACAGGCTCAGAGACGGGGAGTGACTTGCTCAAGGCCACACAGCTCCTGGGAGGGAGTGTTTATCCGCCTCCGCAGGTGGGGAATCTGAGGCTCGGCAGGTTATTGCATGGGCCCGAGGTCTCGGGGCTGGTGAAGGGGAGGGGTGAGACTCAGACGGAGGTGGTGGCGTTCGAATCGGGGCGTCCGCATGCAGAGCAGGGGCCCCCACCCCGAAACCTGCTGAGCGTGGGGGAGGAGTGGAGGGGGGTGTTTGGGTTGGCTGAGCAGACCCTCTTGGCGCTGCTGGTGTGGGGCTTGGCTTTACCGGTCCTGCCCCTGAGCCTGGCGGCAGGGGGTCCCCACCTCCCACGGGGCTCGGGAGGGTCCTCCTGGGGGTCGTGCATTCGGGGTGCCACACCCAGCCCTTTCTCGGAGACGGGGACAGGAGCGAGGAGCGTCTGGGAACAGGGATGTGTCCGAGGGACCTGAGGGACTCCCGGGCTGTGGGACGGAGCTGCGGGGACGATGTGGCTTGCTCAGCTCTGTGGCTCCCAGGCCCGCCTCTGCCTCTCGGCCCAGGGACCCAGCCTCCCCTCCCCCTATCCCCCCCCCCCCCCAAATCCCCCAGCTGAGTGGCAGCTGTCACAGATACCGGCGTCTCCCCCGGTCAGGCCCAAATAAAGGAGAAACCAAAATACATTCGCCTTTGTTGGGATCCTGCGAGGAGGGGGAGCGGGGCGCGAGAGTCACCGCTATTGTGCTCGGGGCCCACACGGCTCCTTACATAAGCCCGGAGTTAAAAATACCCCTGGAATTTCTGATTCCCGGGCGCTGCCGCTGCCTGGGGTGGCCCCCGGGCCCCCGTCCGCCCTCCCAGGCTCCCAGGGCAGGGGGTGGGGCGGGCCTCCGGGCCCGTGGGAGGCGGCAGAGGAACTCCAGGAGCTGGGGCTGCCGTCAGAGCCCCAGGCTGTCCCCCAACGGGGACCGGGAAACCCCCAGAGCCGCAGAGCCTTTCGGGGCTCGGGGCCTGCTCCTGTGTCCTCACCGCATCATCTCATTTAATCCTACAGCCTGAGTCAACACTTTGCCCAGCCCCCCCTCTCCTCACTCCCCCACCCCTGCACCCCGGGGTTAGCACCCAGGGAATTCTTGGCCCCCGGCTCAATGGAGCACCTTTAAAATAAATAAATAAATAAATATATATATATATATATATATATATATATATATATATATATATTTTTTTTTTTTTTTTACAGAGAGGGATAGAGAGTTAGAAACATCGATGGGAGAGAAACACCGATCAGCTGCCTCCTGCACACCTCCCACCGGGGATGTGCCCGCCACCACGGTACATGCCCTTGACCGGGATCGAATCTGGGACCCTTCAGTCCGCAGGCCAACGGACTGAGCCAAACCGAGTCAGCACTCAGGCCCCCCGCCGGGTGCCTGGGGTGCGTGGGGTGCTGGGCTGGACACACCAAGCCCCCCCCTCCCCCAGGCTGCCCGTCAGATGGGGGCGGCAGGCTGACGGCTAACACGTGGAAAACACACGGCAACGCCATCAGGTTCCGCGGGGTCTGCCTGTGCCGGCGCCGAGCTACTCCAGGGCTCCCCCCCCCCCCCCCAATCCGGGGAGCTGGGCGAGGGGGCGGCTTATCTCTGGGTCCTGCCGCCCCAGGAGCCAGGGACGGGCCTCTCGGAGCCGGGGCAGGCCCCGACGTGAGGCGGCTTCCGCGGGGCTGATTTATGGGCAGCCGCTCGGCGCGGTCGGTCGGGGCGTGCCGGGTCCCCTGGCTGGAAGGAATCCTGCAAGCGGGAGGATGCGTTCGGTCATGCTTGGGTTGTCAGGACCCGAAGGGGAATACACCCTCTTGAAACATATCCCCTGTGGATACCCCACGCCCTGGTGCATCCCGGGCAGGGGGCCGGGGAATCCTACCAGCCAGTGCTCTGTGATGGCAGGCGAGGCCCTCACCCTCTCTGAGCCCCGGGACCTCCTGTGTCGGGCGGAGGAGGGTCACCCCGTGGCCGGGCTTGCTGGGAGAGGGACGGAGATGATCATACCCGGATCTGCGCTGTGTGCTGACACAATCCTTTGTGCAAGAAGAGCCGCCGTGCCGAAAAAAACCGGTGTAGCTCAGTGGGTAGAGCGTCGGCCTGCGGACTGAAGGGTCCCAGGTTCGATTCCGGTCAGGGGCATGTACCGTGGTTGCGGGCACATCCCCAGGAGGGGGTGTGCAGGAGGCAGCTGGTCGATGATTCTCTCTCATCGATGTTTCTAAGGATCCCTCTCTCTTCCTCTCTGTGAAAAATCAATAAAATATATTTTAAAATAATAATAAGAAGAAGTTCCACTGTCTCGGCTGCATCACAGTCGACTGTAAGTTGGAAACAGAGCATCCAGAGAAAATTGGGCCAGTCCGGTCCATCCAGGACCATCCCTCAACAAACCCAGGTGGCAGAAGGGTCCCTAAGCCTCCCCCGTAGCTCGGGGACATGCCAATCCTGCAGCCACTGAGCAAGAAAACCAGGCGACGGGAGCTTGGGTCTGGGCCTGGTGCCAGCCTCGGCAAGCGGCCTCGGTTTGCTGCCTGTGAAATGGGCACACGCATTTCCGTGCCGGCCCCTGGAGATCACGCGTGGAAAGGGAAGTCGGGAACCCCTCTTGGCGTCGCTCTCGTTGGCGGACGCGACCCCGCTCGCCCATCCAGAGCTTGCAGTGCTCGGAGCAGAACCCCTCGGAGCAGAACCCCCTCTCCACGGGGTGCTAGGCCGTGGAGTCCCGGGGCGTCCGTCGGCTGCGTGGGCCCCAGAGCAGACGTGTGCAGGCTGAGCGCCCGCGTGGCTAGAACCCGGGGCTCCCCGTGTGCAGGGGAGCTGGGCTCTGGCGTGGAGTGGCCTTCCGGCCGCCCCGCTAACCCACCAGGCTCCCCACCCGGGCTCCTCCCGTGAGACAGGGTGAGGATGCCAACGCCACGGACAGGGGCGCGTCCGTCTGGCCGTGTCCGAGGAGGGGGCCGAGGTGTGGGGGCGTCGCGATGGGTGCAGGGACCCCTCGCCTTCTGACCACCCCCCCCCCCCCCAGATCCTAATGACAGCCCCAGAAGCCCTGTGTGGGGGATCTTTTCTGCAAACCGGGCGATGGATGACAAGGCCCCCAGGGAGGTGATGTCACCCCCACTTCGGCAACCGGGATCGGAGGCCGGGAGAGGGAAATGGGCGGGCGTCTCGGGGGCCGACTCCAGCCCCCCCCCCCCCCCCCGTCTGTGACTCCACAGTGACTGTGCTATGACACTGGCTCCCGGCGTGGGGCGGGGGGTGGGGGGATGGGGGAGTGGGATGAGGACAGTGTCTGCCTCATTTCCTGCTGGACCCGCAGGGCTAGCCCACACCTGGCACTTGGTCGGAACATTCCGCCGAGGCCGGTGGAGGCGGGAAGGAGCCAAGGAGAGAACTTCCTCTCCCGCCCCAGCTCCTCCCAGCACCCAAAGCCGGGTGTCTCCAGCGCCCCAGGGTGGGGGCCCCTGCAGACCCGGTTAGTCACCGCTTGGCCTTGGCTGCCTGGGCCCGTCCTTCTGGGAAGGGTTTTCTCGCTCTTAATCCCACAAGGCGAGATGGGCGAGGCGACGCCTGCCTGGCACAGGGCCCTGGCGGGGCCTGCCCGCTGTGCCTCTGAGGAGGGTGGGTTGGGTACGGAGTTCAGTATCGGGGCGTGCTCTCTCGGCCCCACGGGGGGCCCCCAATCCTCTGCTGAGTCAGAAGTGCACCTTCTGGGCTATGTGACCTTGGGGAGGTCACCTCTCCTCTCTGAGATTCAGGCTGTCTGAAAGGGGGGATCATGCCGAAACCCGTTTGGCTCAGTGGATAGAGCGTCGGTCTGCAGATTGAAAGGTCCCAGGTTCGATTCCGGTCAAGGGCATGTACCTTGGCTGCGGGCACATCCCCAGTGGGGTGTATCGATGTTTCTAGCTCTCTATCCCTCTCTCTTCCTCTCTGTAAAAAAAATCAATAAAATATATTAAAAAAATAAAAATAAAAGGGGAGATCATGAGAATATTCATCCGTCTATGGCGTGTCTGGCTCAGAATAGAACCACTGGTCACCAGGCGGCAGTGAGTGAGCAGCCCTCTGTAGTGAGTGCTCTAGGCATCCCAGGTCTTGTGCTCTTTGAGTCTAATTCACACTAAGGTGTGAATGGTTGTCCAGCAGCCGTTTCCTGTCCCGTGTGTCTAACGCAGGCATCCGTGATGTCTCTGGTGCCGTGTGACCGCGTGCGAAGGAAATGGAAGGGACTGTTTTGCTAAAGGTGTAGGGAGGACTGGACTCCCTCACCCTTATTCACCCTTATCACCCAAAGTCCCTTGATACAGCGCTTGGGCAAAGGGCAAAGGCCTGGTTTGGGGGAATCTAGACTTTCCGTCTTCACTGCACGGAGCAGTGTGGCACCTTGTTAAGGACGTTCCAGCCTATGGTAGACCCTTAGCCAATGTCTTTCTGGAAGATGGCGAGCGGATAAGCTGTGGTCTGGACCTGGACAGTCTTCCCTAGCACCCTTTTTGCTGCATCCTGAACGAACTCCTACACACGCTGCGATGCCCCGTGTAGATGCCCCGTCCTCTAGGAAACCTCCCCGACGTGGCTCGGGTCCAGCTTAAGTCTTTGGGGAACTCTAGTGCATCCGAGATGGAGCAAACCCTGAAATAGGATTGTCCCAACCATCCTATTTCCCAGGGGTCTACCGCAGTGACCCAGGAGGAGGGGGAGGAGGAGGAGGAGGAGGAGGAGGACTTCCATGGGCTGAGGTCTCATCCGGATCAGAGGCAAGAGCGGGGCATTTTAACCAGCCGTCTCCAGATCCCTTCAGAAGGCCTTCAGGCACGGCGCGAGGCCACGGGTGCTCTCCCTCCCCCTCCAGAGCCTCCTGCGGAGCCGAGCGCGCTAACCCCTCTCTCCCCCTTCTTCCTCCACAGCCCACGACCTCCCCGCGAACAAGGCCTCCGCCGCCCAGCCCGGCAGCCATCTGCAGTGCCTGTCTGTCCACTGCACAGACGACGTGGGCGACGCCAAGGCCCGCGCCTCCGTGCCCACCTGGCGGTCCCTGCACTCCGACATCTCCAACCGGTTTGGGACGTTCGTGGCCGCCCTCACTTGAACAGACAAGAATGCCCCCTCCCCCTGCACCAGGCCCTCCCCTCCCCCTCTCCTCCCCTCCCCTCCCATCCCCTCCCCTCCCCACCCCCCCGTCCCCTCCCCCTCTCTCACCTCTAATAACCGGAGAGGGCCACTGTCGCTGAAGGAATGGGCTCTTTTCTAGGTTGGTCCCGGCGTAGTGGCGGCGTATGGACCGGAAAGGGTTAATTTAAAAGGGAAGAAAGAAAAAAAGAAAAAGAAAAACAACCTCAAACATTTTTTTTTTTTTTAATTTTAAAAAAAGAGAAACTCTGTCTGCCACAGTATGTTACCAGTGTTAACCCTTCTGCCGTTAGCCAACTCTGGCTTAAGCCTCTTCCTCGCTTAGAGAAGTCCCCCCTTTTTGTTTCCCCTTTATTTTTGCTTCATTTTCCAGCAGCTGTACGCCCGAGGGTGGTTAGTTCACAGTAAGACGAGCGTTGCTTTTTCTTTCTTTCTTTCTTTTTTTTTAAATTCTCTTTTATTCTTATTCCTCCCCGCCCAGCCCCGCCTTACTGTTTTCCTCCTTCCCTTTATTTTTTGTTTCCTTTTTTTTTTTTTTCTTCCCTTTTCTCTTTTTTTCCCTTCTTTGCTTTGTTCACGGCTTATTAACATGGAGATCCCGGAGAAGAGTGGTCCTGGAATCTTGCGGAAAAAGTCACGTTGTCATCGCCATATCATCTATTGACATCCAACTGTCATCAGGGAGGCGGGAGCCAAACAATGAGTGTCCCCCCCCTCCCCCTTAGGGTATTCCACCGGGGGTGCTGTGCTGCCTGTTTCCCAAGGAGAGAGAGAGAGAGAGAGAGAGAGAGAGAGAGAGAGAGAGAGAGAGAGAGAGAGAGCTCGAGCGCGTTCTGGGCCTCACAAATGCCGGGGCTCCGAACGGTCACGGGTTGCTGAGCAGCCCTGGTCCGGTGGGGGATGGGGGTCTCCCAGCCCGCAGCGTCTGAGGGGTGGGGGTGTGGGGGGCTCCGGGCTCCCGCTCTGCTCCAGCCCAGGCCGCGGGGGCTTGGGTGCTGGAGGTGGGGGCGAAGCCATGCTTCCCCGTGGACCTCGGCCGATGGCTGTTCTCGGGAAGGAGGCGCTGGGGGTTGGAGGGCTGGGTGTATCTCCCCCACCTGTTCTCACGCCCCCCCCCCCCTCTGATCTATGTGACGCCCTCCGACCTGGGCCACGAACGCCCCACCCCTGGGAAGAAGGAGGAGGGAGCCCCAGGCTCAGCTTGCTGAGCCCCCCTCTCTCCAAGCCTGGGAATTTTTTTTTTTTTAATTTCTTTTTGGCTGGGTTTTGCAGACGGCTGGGGGTCAGAGGGAGGAGAAAAAGACCATAACTCATGACTCGGATACCTGGGCCTTGTTTTTTTGAAGCCTGGAATTCCACCATCCCCTCTCCACCCCCCCTTTTGACTTAATCTCCTCACTCTGTTGCAAAATGAGAGCCACATCCCATGTGTCTCACGGAGAATTAACTTTCTGAGACCTGACGAGGGAGGGAGGGAGGCTGGGTGAGGGGGGCTCCTGGGCCCCGCCAGGCATGCTCCCTGGTCCTCCCTCCCTGAGTGTGGTCACCAGAGGCTCTGGGTGACGGGAGCGGGCACCCTGGGGTGCCGTGGATGCTCAGGAGGGTCTCGAAGGACCTGGAAGGGTTGGGGGCGGGGGGCATGGAGATTCCAGGGGTGGGTCAGACAGGAAGTGACCCCGGTATCACTCCATCCCGATCGGCGGCCCCTGTGTTAGCGGTTTCTGTGAAGGGCCACGGCTTACGAAATCCCCCATTTTGAGCCTCCTCTCATCATCTCCCCTTTTGCTCCCCCTCCCCCTCCCCCCAGGACCCCAGAGTTTGCAGACCTGGCTTTTTTTTTTTTTTTTTTTTTTTTGGAGCAAGGGACCTAAAGGCTGTGGGCTCACCATCCAACACCCACATGGTTTATTTCAAAGACCTTCTCGGCCAAGGGAGAGGAGAAGAGAATCTAGGAAAATCTTGCTCTTTCCCTAGCCGCTCCTCCCACCCCCACCCCCTCTCTTTCTTTCCTTCTGCCGGCCTTTTCGGCTCGGGTCCGAGTCTGGATAGTGCAAGGTCCTGGCCTGGACGGGTGTCTGTCCCGGGGGCTGAGGCCCCACGGTGTGAATTTATCAGAAGGAGGTGTGTGAGCGGATCAGGTCGAAAGGAGAGAAAGGGGGCGGGGTGGGGAGGAGAGGGGGGAGAGAGACATGTCCCTTGCTGTCACTGGCTGCAGGGGGATCAGCCAGTCAGAGCAACACCCCACACTCCCTCCCACGCCGCCATGGACAGCTGTTTGAGAGCGTCATCATTTTATTTTATTTAAAAAAAAATAGGAATGATTTCTCCTCTGTGGCTTCAGGCTGAGGAGCTAAGTGTCTTTTTTGACTTCTGTCTTTTTGACTCTGCCCAACGCTTGGCCATCCGCTCAGAAACACCTGAAGTTTAAAAACTTTCTCTCTCCCGGACCCCGGAATGGAACAGCTTTAAAAATAGCCTTAAGCAAAAGGATGGTATTTCGTTAAATCTGGTTCCATGGGAAAAATAAAAGGCAAATGAGAAACACCCCCCCAGCCCACGAGGTTCCAAACACTGGTAATGGGTACTCCATCGCTAACTCTTCGGGGGAAAAAATAAAACAAAAAAAACGTTCTTGCACATGTAAAATAGGAAACCTTAACTCTGCTGTGTGTTAGGCAATCCTGTAATCTTCTTTGACTCTTAAACAAAAAGAAAAGAAATTCATTTCTGAAATGCTTGGTTGGGAGACTGTGACAATAGCTCATGAAATTGAGTGTTATTATTTTTTTTCTTCCTTTTTTTTAAAAAAAAAACTATGTAAAGTGCAGTCTTCTGTATTCATGCATATTGTATATACCTGTATATGTTTTCCTGAGCAGCTAAATAACAATAAATATGACGTTAATGGTGGCTGTGGCGCGCTTTATTTCCATCACTCCGCTCCCCCCACCCTCTGTCCCCCCTCTCTCCTCCCCACTCCCACCCCACACGCCTCCCCTTTGCCTGTAGGTCTCTTCAAATGCCATGGGAGATGAGAGTAGAGGTCTGGATGCTGGGGTGTGTGTGTGTGTGTGTGTGTGTGTGTGTGTGAGTGTGCATGCGTGTGTTGATGCGAGTTGGGTCATCTCAGAATGTCTCCACTCAGCACTACGGACATTGGGTTAGGGGACCCTGCAAGGTGGGGGCCATCCTGTGCATTGTAGGGGTGTTGAGCAGTATCCTTGGCCTGGAGATGCCAGTAGCACCTCTTCCCCCCACCTCCACCCCCTTGTGACAACCCGAACATTGCACAGTGTCCCCTGGGAGGCATCTGATTACTATCGGGGGGGAAGGAGTATGGGGAGACCCACCCTAGGCGGCTGTGCTATGTGAGGGCTCTCTTTTTTTTTGAGTCTTCGAGTCCACTTTCAGAAACCAGAAAGCTTTGCATCTTCCTGCGAGCCGTGCGCCTGCTCCGTGCCTCCATGTTCCCATCTGTGAAATGGGTCTAACAGCGGAGCTGTCCTAGCAGACAGCGCGGTGTGTGTGGACGCAGCGCCCCGGCGGGCCCCACGGGCACACACGGTGAGCATGTGGCGGGGTCCGTTTCTCCCGGGTGGGTTGCTGGTTCCGCCGCCTGTGGCCCTGGGCTGTGGTGGGCCCGCGGTCCCACCCAGCCTCCATTTTCGTGTCTCTGAAGTGGAGCCAGGAACACCCAGCGTGGAGGCGACTGTGAGCACTGGCCCTGGGTCTGCCAACGCTCTGGCTGTCCCCGGGGCTGGCCTTGGGGCAGTAGCTTCGCTCGGACACCGGAGAGATGCCAGGTCCCCGTGTGGTAAGCGGGCTTTGCCCGGGGACTGCTCTGAGCACACCTTCAGTCCGCGTCAGCCGCTGCGGGGGTGGAAGGAACCGTTAGGTGCCTCCGTGTCTCCCCGTGCCAACGGAGGCCCAGCGATCACAGGAAACACCTGTGTGGCGCCTGCTTGCGCCACGGGCCTGCTCAGGTGAATCCTAGTCACCGCTGATGAACGATGCGAATCGCTCCTCGTCGCCGGAGGAGCCCCATGCCCCAGAGAAGGAAGCTGAGACGCAGAGAGAGAGGGAAAGCTGCTTGGCCAAGGTCTCCGGGGCCCTTGCTGGAAGCTCTGCTCCGGGCACCAGGAGGCTGGGCCTTTCCATGTCAGGGGCCAGGTCTTCCTGTTCCACCTGCTCCGTCACAGTCACCGCTCTGCTGCTGGCCCCGGGCAGGGCCCGGCCACACCGCCCCAGGTCTGTGGCTGGTGCTGGCTTCGGAGGCAGGGTGGAGAGGCTGGGGAGGAGAGGCTGGGGCGGAGAGGCTGGGGAGGAGAGGCTGGGGAGGAGAGGCTGGGGAGGAGAGGCTGGGAGGAGAGGCTGGGCGGAGAGGCTGGGCGGAGAGACTGGGGAGGAGAGGCTGGGGAGAGGCTGGGGAGGAGAGGCTTTGGGTTTCCCTCCTCCCTCCGCTGCCAGCACAGGTATGGGCCCTGGGCTGAGCCAGCAGGTGCTCCTGGCAGCCTCCCCTCCAGCCCTCGGACAGGACAGGACAGGACAGGACGGGACGGGACGGGACGGGACGGGACGGGACAGGACGGGAGGGGAGATGATGGAGGCGGCAGGATCTCCTGTTCTCCAGCCCCTCTGCTTGGGGCTCGCGTCCTGCAGGTCTGGCCGGTGGCAGGAGGGCCGGGGGCGCAGGGGCCGCGGGGATCAATGCCCCGGGAGCTGTGGCCGCGGCCTTTGTCCGTCACAGCCCCACCCTGTGGGCGGAGGAGCCTGACCCCACCGGCGTCTCACCCTCCAGAGCCCATTCTTCCCGGGGCCTCCGAGCCCCTCTCCTCCAGCCTTTGTCCGGGAGAGGACCCCCCGGGAGCGCGGAGCCCCTCCGGGGACAACGGGCTCATTGAGGCGCCGAGGCCGGGCAGCAGGGGAGGAGGAGGGTGTAGGGCAGAGTGATGGGCGACG